GATGAATATGTTCATGGTGTAAATTATTGTTTATGACTTTGAGGCGCTGCCAAAGACTAGCTCTATTTAAATGGACTTTACTGGCTAATAGAATACCTTCTTACTTATACTTCAGTCTTTCTGTGACCTCCCCTTCTTTGAGGGATTCACAGAAGGTGTAACAAAGAGCTACATAATTTTAGTTATTCATTGGTGAGCACAACACATTCTCTTGACTTCCATGAGTATCCTGTCAAGGGACTCAGACTAGGTATTTGATGTCTAGAATAGCAATGAGCAGTCCCTGCAGTGAGAAGAATTTCTGCTTTGCCTTCTAAAGTCCTCCTTGGGCACTGTAGGCTCTAGGACCATCAAGTACTCCCTTCCACATGCAGACATGGTCACAGGAAGCCATGGAACTTTCTGCATCCAACCTCAATCAGCCTTCAAAACCAGTTAGAGCCAAGAAGTGTTGCTTTTGATTCTGGCAGTGATACTCCAAAGGAGAGCAATTAGTGGAAGTTTGAAGAGTAAACAAAGAAAAGCCAAGCAATGATTAGAGCTCTTTTGCCTAGAAAAAAAAATGAGAGCGAAGGACTTTCCATGAAGTAAAATGTGTGAAAGCATATCTACGTGGGAGCTGTCTGGCCATTTTTTCCTTTTATTAATGGTGACACAAAAAAAGGGGGAATATTTTATTTTGATGGCTTTCAGGCTAACCGGTCCTCCTAGTTCTAAGAATCAGCAGGTCTCTGAGGCCCTGCCCATAGGTGCTTCCACCCCACCTCCTCCAGGTTTGCCAAGGGTCAGACTGACCACAGTCCTCAAGGTGGGTGGAACTGGTTTATTTTAGGGTATTCATGGTCAAATGATCGACTGGCTATGGGCCATTAGCAAGGTTTGGCCAAAAGTTCTCAGAAACTGTTATATTATTAGCCCTGTGTTTGGGTTTTTGGAAGAAAGAGAAGTTATGAGAAGGAATGCAGTAAATTACCAGAATACTAATACAGCCTGCCAGCACCTTTCACTCAAGGCAAAGGAAAAAAGCTTCCTTGCTCTGTAGTTTTTTATCTGGATGTTTTCAGTTTATCGTGGAAAATCAGTTACCCCAATACCTACTGCACAACGATTGTCTCCCAACTCCGTTTTTGCTCATTTATAACAATATTATGTATTAATGAATGGAGTAAAAAAAAAAAAAGGACAAACTTTGTGTTGTTTTCATTTCTCCATTCACTATTATATGAACAAAGATTGATAAGGTGTATTTAAAGTTTCAAGAATAATAGAACTAGAAGACTTCTATTAATAGATTAATATTACCCAACTAAGATATATACAAGCTGCATATGTAATTTTTTTTTTTTTTTTTTGAGACAGGTTCTTACTCAGTGGCCTGAGCATATCTCACTGCAGTCTCAAACTCCTGGGCATAGCGATCCTTCCACCTCGCCTCCCAAGCAGCTAGGACTACAAGCACTGGATGCTGCACCCAGCTAATTTTTGTATTTTTTTTGAGATGGGATCTCACAATGTTGCCCAGCCTGGTCTTGAACTCCTGGTTTCAAGCAATCCTCTTGCCTTGGCCTCCCAAAGTACTGGGATTATAGGCATCAGCCAACCCACCCAGCCCCACATATGTAATTTTTAATTTTCTAATGGCCACATTAATAAAAGCAAAATTAAACCTATGAAAATAATTTATTATTTAAGCCACTATCCAAGATATCATTCCAACATGTAATTGATATAAAAATTATCAATGGGGTATTTTGTATTTTTTGTTTCATACTAAGTCATTGAAATCCGGTGTGTATTTTGCACTTACAGCTCGATTCGGACTGGCCACATCGCAAGTGCTCAGTAGCCACATGTGGCCAGTGGCTACTGTGTTGAGCAGTGCAACTGTAAAGATAAATATTAATAATTTGTGAGTTGTATTAGAAAGAATAGGCCAGACAGGACGAAAATCTTAAATTATTTTGAGGAAGGTGAGAACAAGACTAGACAGTTTTTATGAGGTACATTTCCGTATGTGAGAAAACTGTAAATATCTTCTAAGCAATGAATCAACATGAAAAATGTTCTCCATTAGCAAATGCAGGCTCATATTCCATGCAGACCTGGGAGTCACAGAGTCTCCATTTGATGGTGTGGGCGAGAAGGCTCTGGGAAAATGCTGTGCTGCTGGTGGTGATGATGATGATGGTGGTGGTCGTGGTGACCTGACTTTAAATGTTTCACTTCTGTCATTGGTAATTTTGGAAGGTATTTAGTTTGGGGCAGGAAGCTTGACTAAATACTACAGACACCAAATACGTAAAATATCCTATTTTATAAAGTGCCTGGTTGGCAGGCTGGAAAATAGGCTGGTGCCAGTGGCATTGCATACGTAGCCTGGAGCTGGGACCTGGGAAGCCTTCCTTGGAACGGTGCCTAAGTCATGTTACTATTTAAGATCTGTCCATGAAGGGATCCCCTTTTGACCTGAGTTTCGCATCCTACTTTCTCCCACCTTTCAAAATATTTTTAAAGGCTCTGTCATTCCTAACAGCCCAACATGGACGTCTCTAAAAACAATTTGATCCCTTGGTCCTGATATTGGCTGTCTAACTTAAAGTGGGAAAGCAGAGGAAAAGAAATGATGATAAGAAAGAAATGTGTCTCCCTATTATGTTCATTTTTCGCTAGTCGTGATAATGAATACAATGCCAAGAGTTCTGTAACTGTGTTAAAAAAAACAGTTTTCTATACTAGACAAGGGATTGGTTCTTATCTAGTTAGAAAATCAGAACTTGCCCCGGAGACTGAGGTATCCAGATCTGTGGGGATTAGACCTTTCCAGATGTCCTGGCCTTTCGTATATAGTATAATATATTCAACTTACGTTTGGTCCTAAATCATAGCCTGATTGGACCTTCGGGACTTCAAAGTATCCTCATATACTTCCCGAGTCAGTGCCCATTTCCTGCAGTGAGATCACCCTCATGATCGTGGATGCCAATGGAAAGAAAACTTTGTGTCTGCCCCTGCTTTGAACTGCCCATAACTTTAACACCAGTCCCAAAAGTGAGCAAGCGTCTTTTGCTGCAAGCATCCTTAAAAGCACGGCTGCTGCTTGGATTTTTGCCACACTCAAGTTGGATCAGGCTTTTTAGGTCAAGTGCATTTTAACTACTATAACCAATTCATGTTTTATAGGCCATAAAGTTGTTATAAAGCAAGCAGGGAGAATATTGCAAAAGCTTTAAAAATTTGTGGCAAACTCATACCATGTGGTAGTGGTTATGCTGATAAATTGCTCATTTCCTACACATTTCATACCATTCCTTCTTGTTGACTCATAGTTCCTTTATTTTACATTCATAATTTTAATATTTGCATTATAACTTTGTACTAATATTTGCCATGAATATAAACTATCTAGAAAAAGTCTGTTGAAGGATATAGTAGACTTGATGGATTCTTTATATTTTAAAATATTGGTACCAGCTGTTTGATGATCTTTATTATAGAGTCAAACCAAATTCACATTCCTGTTGAAAAGTGATCATTAATATTTTTTTATTACTGTGTGTGTCATGTTATAACCTTCTAAATATAAGTTTCACTCTTCTATTTTTCTAACAAACCCTGTAAACATGGATTTTGGTAATAAGGTAACCTGCCAAAACAAAGCACATTTCTTCATTAATCACATTCTTTATCACAAGGCATTTTGTTTCTATAAACCTGGAATCTCATTATCATGGGTGAAAAAAATGTTGATCCCGCCTTACGAATGAAGAAGACTGGAACTTTGAATGTTTCTGAAAGTTTTTTTTCATGCAGGTCCTTTTTGGACCCAAGATTATGTTTAAATGCTATGGGTATTCTGTGACCTTTTGACTTAGCAGCCCGACTTATTTTATGCCCTATTCTAAACACAAACAGCCCCATTTCTCAGAAGTTTTCTCATAACTTAGTTCCTATATTTATCATTTAATTGTATAACTACACTGTTATAACTTTACTTGTGGCATGTTGTACAAACGTACTCTCTAATAGTATAACTTGATATATGTATGCCACAAATGGAATGCCAGTTTTTAAGAAGAGATTTAGAGAAATGTGAGAGGGTAAATTTTAAATGGGGTGTGGGTCTCAACACAGTCATCTGTCACTTAACAATGGGGATTACATTCTGAGAAATTTGTCTTCAGGCAATTTTATTGTTGTGCAAACTCTATATATAGTGTGGCCCACTAAGCACCTAAGCTATATATGGTCTAGGCTGTTGTTCCAACCACTCTTTTATATGCAGTCTGTGAAATGTCATTATGTGGTACATGACTGTATCTTATTTTGCTTTTCTTGCCAAGTGTTAGAAAATGATTGTCCAGGCAACCCTTTTCTTTAATGCTGTATATAGGTACAATGTATAGTTGTCAACATCCATTAGATCAAATGGTAGTGGTTCCAGGATTCTAGCCCAAAATTTTGTGGAATTATGATAGAATACTTAAAACCTAGAACGTTTCTCGAAATTCCATAAGAATCACAGAGGGTCCTTTTTAAGTACGTAAGAACCACTTGTGGTGCTTGTTAAAGCAATAGATTACTCAAGCCGTGATTGCTGAGCCTTTAATTTAGTAAATCTGGGGTAATCTGCATATATGAGTCATTCCAGGTGGCCACACTTTTGAGCCAACAGATATATTAATAGTGCTTCTCAGACTTTAATGTGTGTACATTGCACTGGGATGTTAGTAAAATTCAGATTAAAGCTCAGTAGGTCTAAGGCAGAGGCCTCGCTAACAGACTCCCAGGTGATGCTTGTAGAAACTCTAATTTTGCATCTCAATCGACCACAGGTACCTTTGCATTTCCTTCTGTAATTAATTTGCCATCTTCTTGTTATTGACCACATACATTTGGGCTAGGTTTTCACCTACTTTCAACCTTCTGTTGGATAGAATTTCAAAATACTTGCCTATCTTGCTTATCTTGTCCTTTGTATTTGTTTTCTTTAACGCACGTAGATGGGCACCAGTTGCGTCCTGAAGCGCCATCAGCTGTAACCAAAATTCCAGCTCCCAAGACGACAGCCAGGCATTCCCGCTCCCAAGAACCGAAGACCATGGAGCTGTCTGACAGCGACCGACCCGTCAGCTTCGGCTCCACGTCGTCCTCAGCCTCCTCCCGGGACAGCCATGGTTCCTTCGGCAGCAGAATGACCTTAGTTTCAAACAGCCACTTGGGTTTGTTTAACCAGGACAAGGAAGCAGGGGCCATAAAACTGGAGCTGATGCCAGCCAGGCCGTTCTCCAGCAGCGACCTGCAGAGGGACAACCCGTCCGGGCAGCAGAACTCCGAGGAGGCCAGCGAGAGGCAGCCCAGGGCCCCGCGGAGAGCGGACGCCAACGGGGCACCCAAGACGACTGCAGACTCGGCCACCAGCCCCAAGCTCCTCTACGTGGATAGAGTCGTCCAGGAAATTCTGGAGACTGAGAGGACTTACGTGCAAGATCTAAAAAGCATCGTAGAGGTAAGGCGGACTTCACTTTTAACGTCTGTCATGCAGGAGAAATATGCTTGCAAAATAAAGAGCCAGGTGTTGGGGACGTGCATGTCCCCTAAGATGTAGAAAGGGTGTGAATGTTTAAAGAGATCATAAGAGAAACCCTAGAGCTGCACTCACTGGGTTTAAAATCCTCTTGATATTTGTATGAACACATCCGTTATGTGTTAGCAAGATCGACAATACGGTGCACAGACCAGAATGTTGTGTTAATTAATTCTACACTACAGAAAGCAGAGTGCCCCACACATAGTGGAGCAGACAGATGGAGAAGGACCTTAAGCCTCCTGGTGTGTAGGTATCAGGTATATCCAGCTGAACACATCAGCTGTCTTCGCCTTAATTACTATTCTCTGCCGGTGTCTGGGAGCTTCCAAAACTACTGACACCTGGGTCCCACCCTCAGTGATTTCATTGGCCTCAGGTGTGGCTTGGGCAGCGGAACTATTGAAAATCCCCAGGTGATTCTAACGTTCAGACAAGCTTGGAGTCTCTGTTCTCTCCTGCTCCCGGTCTCGGTTGCTATTTGGGGAAGGCAGTGAAAGGTACGCCTAAAACTATGGGCTTTGTCTTGTCATGGGTGGTTTTTTTCTGTTCACTTTTATAGCAAATGATATTATGTAAATTATTGTCTATAAATTATTATAATTCTAAATTGCTTACATACATTATTCTGTGTGAATTGACCTTGGTTTATATACTAGATAACATCCTATGGAAATCCATTTCTTAATTTGATTTTGATTTATAGGTAAGTTTTAAAGGATAAAGAATTACTAGAGGAGCTCAGATGTTAACTCATTCTCAATTATAATTAGGATTGTTAATATCTCAAAGGCAAATTCATATATTAAAGCAGCACTTGCTTTGCTGCCTGGTAACACACCAAATTCTTTTGTTAGTGCCTATTTCCTGTTTTAGACATTTAATCTAAAAGTGTTCCATGGCATAGTAGAATATTTGCTGATGAGCACATTCTCCATCACATACATTTTTATAGCTTTAGGAAAAAAATCCTAAAGTATGATTGTGTATTGAGTTCCACAAATGGTAGAACCAGACGCTGTCTACTAAAAATAGTTATGACATGCCTTCCCAGCAAAAATAGAAAAGTCAATGGACAGTCAACCAAAACAATATGTGGTACCAAATGTTAAATAAAATAAGCCAATTTCTTAAAAATTCCACCTATGATGTCATTTGTACTTGAGAAGAAATAGCCAAAAGTTTTACAATCTCTCAGGAAACGTATGGTTGTTAAAGCTCTCTTTGGTCTATGCTTTTTTCCCTTCCTTTCTTGGAAACTTTTCCACCTAATCAAATCTCATCTTACTGAGAGAGAAACCTTTAGTTACTAAACTGGTATTCCATAAGCGCTGTTTTTATCCTGAGGCTGGTTAATAAGGTAAGATATGAATGATAGAAAACAGATAAAGACCTTTTTTTTTTCTAAGAAAGTTTCAGCGTAAGTTCTATTTAAAGTTGTCCAAATGTTCTTGCCTTTTTTCTTCTCCACGAATTTACCATGTTTTACACTAAGGGTTGATGAGCTTTTCTATACACGATCAGACAGTAAAACTTAGTTTAGGCCTTGTGGGCCCTAAGACTGTGGTCCCCAACCCTCTGGGCTGCAGCCCCATCTGGTCTGTGGCCTGTTAAGAAAACAGGGCCTCGAATCACAGCCTGAGCTCTGTCTACCTCTCCCCACTCTCCCACCATCCGTGGAAAAACTGTTTTCCATGAAAGCGGTCCCTGGTGCCACAAAGGTTGGGGACCACTGCCCTGAGGTCTGGGTCACGACAACTCAACTCTGCACAAGCAGCTGTAGACCTTGTGCCATAAAGGGGCCTGGAGGGTCCAGCAAATCTTTAGGGCCCCTTTGGCCCAAGGGCCCTCGTTTACTGACCCCTGTCCTAGGCTATAAATTTGTGCCACGTTTCATCAGCTGTGAAATGGGACTAATAAACAGTACCTGCCTCGCAGGACTATTAAGAGAATTGGGTAATATAGGAAAAGCTGACGCAACCGTGCCTGGCACGTGGTGAGCAATTAATGGAAACTGTGATCATCGTCAGCTTCCTCTGAATTTGCTATTTAAGAGTGATCACCATGTATACTTTCTTTTACCTAAAGTCTTTCACAAAAAAAAAAACAATCAGATTAGCCAAATCAGGACAGCAGAAATTTAATTAGAAAAGTTTTTTTAAATGGGTGATTCCAACATTATTATTTTGAACGAACCCACTAAAAATCTGAGGTGAAAGCTAATGAGGGAAAGGAGGGTAGTTGGGGAGGAAAAGGCCCAATTGTGGGGGGAGGCACCCAGGGAGGAAGAAGTAGATGCCCCCTTGTTCCAGAAGTCACTAGAATGCTTTGCCCCGTCCTCCTAGGAAACCTTAGAATCTCTTCAGATCAGGAGCTGGTGGCTCGAAGCCTCCCCTCCATCTGCGTTGCCTACGTGACCACCTCTTTTTCTCAGGATCACAACCTTAACAGGGTGGGTCAGCCCATTTTAACTAGTTATTTCCTTTGTGAAGGGTAACCAATTTTCCCACCTGCAGCAACTCGACCTAATGAAGACTTACGTGGGTGTACTTTTAAAATAGAGTACCAATTCCTTTAGGCCGGGCGCTGTGGCTCACGCCTGTAATCCTAGCTCTTGGGAGGCCGAGGCGGGCGGATTGCTCAAGGTCAGGAGTTCAAAACCAGCCTGAGCAAGAGCGAGACCCCGTCTCTACTATAAACAGAAAGAAATTAATTGGCCAACTGATATATATATATAAAAAAATTAGCCGGGCATAGTGGCACATGCCTGTAGTCCCAGCTACTCGGGAGGCTGAGGCAGAAGGATCACTCGAGCCCAGGAGTTTGAGGTTGCTGTGAGCTAGGCTGACGCCACGGCACTCACTCTAGCCTGGACAACAAAGTGAGACTCTATTTTTTTTTTTTTTTTTTTTTTTGAGACAGAGTACCAATTCCTTTAAAACCGCTCTTCCTTGATCTCTTCCTAACCCGTTTTTATAATTTGGTAGATGACTTCTCTAATAGCCTCCATTTTTCAAATGCAGAATTTTAAATTGGGAAAGGGGCTGCTCATGACCTACTGTGATAAACTATTCCCATCCTGAAGGATAGATTTTCCTCTTAGTTGGTGTGTTCCAGGGAAGAATTATTTCTGGGAGGAAAGAAAAACAGTCTAATGGTTGCTAGAGATAACTAATAAGTCACTTTTCATTTATAGAGTAGCACAGTTTCTGACTTTGTGCACTCTGCTTTATTGAATCTCCTAAGTTTAGTTAGTTTCTCCCCACAAGTGGTACATCTTACCTGCGTGCCATAGATCCATAACCCTCACAGCTCAAGTTCATGTTCCATTTTTAGGTCTTGTAAACAGCAACATTTTTGCAAAAGATCATTGAGATACATCCACTGACTTAAAAGACATTAACACAAACGACGATTTGACCTTTCAACATAGTCCAAATATCAGAGTAGCTTGTTTCCGAGCAGAGAGACTTCTAAACCTTAGTTGGGCAACAGGATTTCCAGATGTGGCTTCACATGCCAGGAAGCTTGCGTGCCTTTCTTTCAGACATAGGGAGAAATGTTACATTAAAATAATCCCCCATATATAGATATTTTTCCTTTCCCATGCCATTTAGGGATGCAGAAATGAATCCCTAATGTTTCCTGAAAGTTTAACTTAAAATGTGGTTTTTTTACTCCTCTTGCTCTTTGTGGCTTGCATTCCCCCAGATCTTTCTCTCTAGGCACCCCGTCCCCTTTGCCATCTTCTGCTCCTTTGCCAACACCCTCGTCATTTGCTTCTGCACACTTGACGTTTCAGAGAGAGGTAAAGTCTTGCCTATCACCCATACTCAAAGGGGCAGTGGGGCTGTTATTTCCATTTTTATTTATGGCTCCCAAGAGCATTCACAGATAAAATGAGATAATAAATATGAAAGCAAGTTTTAAAAGTTAAAATAGCCACTGATAGAATTTGTGGAGAGAGAGAAATCCATAGTTGGAAAGTAGAACATAAGGCTCTCTTTCATCTTTAACGGGACCTTCGACTGACTGAGCAGGGACAGCCACGGGTAGAGTGGGTTTCTTTAATCTTCCCAAATGATCTATATAAAAGAGCCTTTGAGAGCCTCACAAAATTTGGCCTCGGATATAGTTCATGGCCTGTTTTAACCTTTTAGTAAAGTTTTTAAATAGTTTATAATGTTATATAATGCTGTGTAATGAGAAGTTACATTCCTACTACAAAACGGCATCTTTGAGCTCTAAAAGATGCTAAATTAAGTCATCTTTCAGGATGTTGAGGACATGTGTGTTGGGGAAAAAAGTGGGTAAAATGTTAAGTATAACATGATTTTTATTTTTTTTTATATCGTATGCCAGAGAGCTAAATTCCTTTTCAGGTACCTTTATCCATAAAGTTTGTTAAAAAGCTAAGTATTAGAGCCTCAGTGTTCAAAAACATCCAATGCTTAAGCATATCTTTGTTAGAAACATTCAGCGTAACTCACGAGCGGTAGCTAAACGAGGATTCAAATGGTGATCTGCAGCCCCCCAGCTCTGGTTATTAGTCTATGTGGACTCTTTGTTTATTGAGTGATTGTACAGACAGTGTCAGGGTTGGTAGAAAGGAGAAAGGCATTTTTCACACTCTTAGCGACTTGAAACACATGAAAAGCTCTTCTGCACATTGCCATGGCTTAGAGAAGAGGCTGCTCTTAGTTCTCCAATTAATTTAATTCCTGCAGTACTGTCTTATGCTTGGAGCAAGCTTCTCCCAGATTTGTGCAGAATGAGAAAAGGAAACCCTATTACTGGGCCTGGTGATAAAGTGGAATGTGGGTGGCTTTTGTCCTGGGTACCCCTCACCCGGGAGGACACTGGAGTTGGGAGGTGGTTCTGACAAAGCTTGGCTTCCCTTGATCCTGCTGGAGAGACAGGTG